ATTCTGAACGTGAATAAATTTGTTACGACTCCGAGCAAATTTATGGCAGAAAATTTACTGCTTATAAATTATTTATAAAAAATGCTAGTAATTTATTATCATCAATCTTTCTTCAGAAGTAAAATTTTTAATTTTTTTTTTCATTTTTAAGTAATAAAATCACAGTCAAATGTCCGAAAACTTGGCCGTCGACTACAAAATTAGAAAAGTATTTCAGTGGAGAAAAAATAGTCAAACTACTTGAATATCCTCAAGTGTAAACTGGACAATGATTTTCACCTCAATTGTTCTTTTTTTACCCTGACGTTACATCACTCCCGAGTAATCAACGTCAATTAAACTAAAATTAACAAATAATTGAAGGAATTCACCAAAAATGTGAAAACTTTAAAACCACTTGTTGTATAGAAACAGTTTCTCGCCAACAATATTCTCCACCGTTCGGGGCAGTTATCCAACATCAGCCAAATAACTCTGATAAACACAACTTCAGTTAACATCCCACTAACTGTGAGTACCCATCAAGTGCAGATATACATTCTAAAATTTAATCCCGTTGATATACATATTTCAGTTGCACCGAATCCCATACCTCTCCCGCCGAATGTAATTTTTGCTTTAGCAGGTAGCATACATGCAAAAGGCAAACTAAATTGATGTAACTTCACTCGGATATAAAAACTAAAAGCCCCCGTGGCACTTCCACCGACAGCCTCCATTTCCGTTATTCTCTCTCCCTCCTCTCCCTCCCCCCCACCCAAACGAATTTCATCTGTACGCGATATTTGCAGGAGTATAGAATTATATATACACTGCGTGCGTGAATATCGATATCCTCTCAGCATTTCTGGAGTTTCTTTCGTGGTCTGATTGCACATCACCCTTCTCACTGCACCTTTCAATCTATATTTATATATTGTTGAGAGTCTTCCCTCTACGGTAGCATAAAACTAAGTTTGCCAATGCAAGTGTGTCTCTCGCGAATGCCCTACCATTGTATTTCACTGGTGGTGTTATGGTGGATGTATGGGGGACGGGATAGACAAAACGAATGAGACGAGAGTGAGGATAGGATACATATCTGGGTTACAGCAGCCGACGTATCTCTATTTTTCTGACTTCGGTATTTTTCTTTATCTTGAAATTGAATTTATCCGACCTTTAGAGAGACACTTCGGGGGGGGGGGGTGAATCGATTGAGTCGTCTGTTTACTTAAAGTGCCGGGAAAAAAAATCGTAGATGATCATTTCAATTTTCAATTTTTCCCTGAATTTTTCTGATTTTTCGGAATTTTCATGGAATAATTGAACTAAAAGTCGAGTATTATATGGATTTTCGGATAATTCGATGAGAAAATCACTGGGATATTTGATTTTTCAATGCCAATATTTCCGCAAATTTCTGATTTGACATGGAAAATTCAGAAATAAAGTGAGATGAATTTTCAATTTTTCCCTGAAATTTCCAGATTGTTCCGAATTTTCATGGAATAATTGAACTAAAAAGTCGAGTATTATATTGATTTTCGGATAATTCGAAGTGAAAATCACTGGAATATTTGATTTTTCAATGCCAACATTTCCGCAAATTTCAGTGAGAATTAAAGATGATGAAAATCTTCGGGATTTGACATGGAAAATTCAGAAATAAAGTGAGATGAATTTTCAATTTTTCCCTGAAATTTCCAGATTGTTCCGAATTTTCATGGAATAATTGAACTAAAAAGTCGAGTATTATATTGATTTTCGGATAATTCGAAGTGAAAATCACTGGAATATTTGATTTTTCAATGCCAATATTTCCGCAAATTTCAGTGAAAATTAAAGATGATAAAAATCTTCGGGATTTGACACGGAAAATTCAGAAATAAAGTGAGATGAATTTTCAATTTTTCCCTGAAATTTCCAGATTGTTCCGAATTTTCATGGAATAATTGAACTAAAAAGTCGAGTATTATATTGATTGTCGGATAATTCGAAGTGAAAATCACTGGAATATTTGATTTTTCAATGCCAATATTTCCGCAAATTTCAGTGAAAATTAAAGATGATAAAAAGCTTCGGGATATGACATGGAAAATTCAGAAATAAAGTGAGATGAATTTTCAATTTTTCCCTGAAATTTCCAAATTGTTCCGAATTTTCATGGAATAATTGAACTAAAAAGCCGAGTATTATTTTAATTTTCTGATAATTCGAAGTGAAAATAACTGGAATATTTGATTTTTCAATGCCAATATTTCCGCAAATTTCAGTGAAAATTAAAGATGATAAACATTTTCGGGATTTGACGTGGAAAATTCAGACAAAATTGCCCCAATTTTCAAGGTAATTTTTAGCCAATTTTTCCCTCCGCGCATCAGACCCGGAGATATATAACAAAACGCATCCTGATGTTGACTGGATTATCCTGTTTCGCCACTTGTGCCCCAAATTCACCGGTTTAAACACTCGAGTCATAATCGCTGAGTGTTACGACCCCAAAATTTCCCGTCAAACTTCGCAAACCAAATTTTGTAAACAATTTTCACCATGAGATGTTAACACTCACACTGACGCAACCGTATGGCGCAGAGTAGTGCAAACGCAATGGCCGGACCAATTCGGAAATCACTTTAAGCGACTTGACGTGAATCTCTCACTGGCGTTAGTTTAAACTTTGTGCTTTGTACAGTGAAAGCTAACGAGGTTTTCCTGTGTGCCTCACGCTCCAGTGGTTCCTCGCTTTGCATCACACACGTCTAACACTCGGATGTTCAGCTTCATGTTTTTGTTATTTCTGTATGAATTTGGGAGTATTCTTTTTGTTTATCTGTGTGTTTTGCAACAGGGGAGGATTCAAAGGATTTGATGAAACGCGTGCCGATGTGCGATCCAATTCACGGGAGTCCTGTCTATAGAAGATAAAAGTTTCGTGAAGTCATGAATTTTATCAATTTCAATTATTTATTCATTTATTTGGCTTTTCAACTATTATTTTCCTTCTTTCGCGGAGTAAATTTCGTTCTAAATTCTAGAAAAACGAGAAAATTACTCATTTTCTTAGAAAATTCTAGAAAAATGTCTGTTTTTTTCATCTAACAAAAATTTAGAAAATTATTCAGCGCCAAGAAATTAATAATTATCAATTATTCCGCGTAATTTTCAATTTTTTCAACATTTTATTTCGAAAAGATACTGAGGCAAGCCTCGATAAAAATTATCGAGTATCGGTAAAAATTACGGAACGACTCGTTGTCCCCACAGCGGTGAGTCATCAGACGGTTGGTTAATTATTACGGAAAAAATCATAGAATTTACGTGGCGATACGTACAATTTCACTTCCGACTCGCACTTTTTATTGAATTTTACTTCACTCGCGGATTACCTTTCGAAACGTAATTTTTACATTTTTTTCTGGTAATTTTTATTGAATTTTTCTCTCGGTGTATTTTAACCTCTGATTCTCCATTAAATTTGCCTCAGTATTAAATGCCACAACTCAATTTCTAATCCAAATCCTTGAATTGTCCTATTCTTAATTCACTCCTCTGCAAGCGTAACGAACGAGCGGATTTACCCTGGATTTTCGTTATACGACAGTCACATGACCCTGTAGAGCACATACGAAATGCGCACATCTCGCTGGTGAATGCAACCGTCTGACTTTTGCAACCTACTTCAAACGAGGAAAATGGCACACTGGGTAACAAGATGAAGCTGCGTTTCAATAGGAGGGTATACTCTGAAAACTTTATGCACTCGTCGTAAAGCCAAACGAGTGTTTCGGATATTCCGCGTTGGAATACTTCGGATGTTGCATATACTTCTGAACACGGGGCTTGATAAACTTTCTAAAATCGACCCTTTCTGATTAATATTTCATAAACTTCTCCTGCATTTTTTGCCACGAGGATGAATTTTCCCGATGCAAATGTCTTATCCAGATTTTTTTTTCTCGAGCAACATTTTTCTCAGACATTTTCCGCAGCTCTCGTTCATCAGAAAGAAAAAAGCACTCGCAGCAGTGAAATTCGCCAGATACATGTGTACACGTCTCCCAGAATCCCTCGGAATTTTTCCCTCTCCGATGTTAACGTCAGAAATGCTCACTTCTATTCCCCACATCTTCAAGATATTGACGAGACGTACATGCTCTTCAGAGCAAAACGAGAGACGTTACTTTTTACCATGAACAAGTGGAATACGAACAATGAAGAGTTGAAATGGAAGCAAAAAACGTGGGGGAGGGAGGGGGGAATTCTCGGGGTCACGAGTGTTCCTCAGTTCTTTGACACGTGTGTGTGTGTGACTCGGTATGAAGTGGTTACAAGAGAGAAAAAGGTGGAAATAGGGAACGGAAAAGGCGAATTCCTCCTTGAAGTTTTTACACAAACCTCGTAGGCATTTTTTTTTTCGTCTTATTCCCCACGTCTCTTCCACTCCACACACTGAGACGAGAAATAATATTTTTACAAGTGAATAAATTCCGCGAAAAATACTGTGAGCGTGAGAAAACCCGTCTCCTCTCATCTCTAGTCAGTGAAAACAGTTTTTTTCCGCTGGGGGGTAAAGATAATTTAACGTTGACTTCCTAGCGTCGGTGTGCGGTGGAAAGGACGTTCGCACTCGTGACTTTTTGGTAATTGTTATTTTTTCATGGCAGTTTTAGGGCAGTATAGTTATTCTGGGTGTCGTAGTCGAGGATTTTTTGGTGAGAATTTATGATGTCTCACTTGTGATCGACTGTGTTCCATAAAAATGTCAACACGGAGAGAATGTATAATTGAAAATTACAATGTGAACAGAAAAATTGAGAATCATACCGGAAAAACTTGACAGTTTAATTCATTTTTTACGATTTAACACAGTAATTTTTAACAAACGATTTTAATTTTTTAATTTTGAACTTTCAAAATTGTCAAAAACTCGTCATTTTTTTGCAAATTTTTAAAATGTCTCCAAATGTCTTGAATTGAGATTGAAAATTTTGCAGCAAAAAAATCACAAATTCACTCACCGCCTCGTTCTCCCCGTGAACTCCCGCGGAGGTTATCCCAAAAACATCATCTACGGTGCTGTTTTCCCCGAGTGCAGTGCCGAGAAGGCACATCTGAAACAAACAACCATAAATAAATGAATAACACGAAGTCATGTGAATTTCATTGTTTCCGCATCCTCCATTACCCTCTATTATTCTCTCTCAAAGAGTCTCCCGTGTGTATACGCCCCTGAAACTTCTGCCCCTGTGACGTATACAATCGAAAATGGAAAAAAATAAAAAATCTGAAAATCTGAATTTTTCAACGTTGAAATCGTCAATGTCAAAGTGATTCAATTTCATTATTTCTTTCACGCTACGTACTGTTACGCGAGTGACACGAACGAGATTGCATGCAACTCGAATTGCAATTGCCGGGTTGAATCCAATTTAATTGTCTTCGCAGTTGGCTGGAAAACAGACACTTTTCGTATGTATTCACCGCAAAAAGCGTTATCCAACGAGTTTTAAAATAACGAGTGCATCCTCTCCAGTGGCTTAACTGTTCTAGTCTGGAATAACGAGTGTACGGAATGGAGTTCATAATAATGGAATGTTTAATTTTCTCGTCTCACCTGAAATATGGAGCATTCCTAATAAAAACTTCATGTTTGATTCAAACTTACCCACAATGCTTATGCATTAATCATTAAAATCGGGGAATTGGAACTGTGCCAAGTTTTACTATGAAAACATTATGAATTTAGAACGAAATATTAACGATAAATCGCTGATATTAATGATAAATGCGGAATCAGCATTCAATTGGCGAAAAAATTCGATTTTTGTGAAAGTCGACTTTCCCCCTGGAAAAATAGAAAATCTGACCCTTTGGCTCCGGGTGAAAAAAAAATTTTTTTTCAGTTTTCACTTTTTCCACATACTTTTGAGAGTTTTGGATAGCTCGTCGCTTAAATAATTGGAATCAACGTTCACCCGGCTAAAAAATTCGATTTTGGTGAAAGTCGACTTTCCCCCTGGAAAAATAGAAAATCTGACCCTTTGGCTCCGGGTGAAAAAAAAATTTTTTTTCAGTTTTCACTTTTTCCACATACTTTTGAGAGTTTTGGATAGCTCGTCGCTTAAATAATTGGAATCAACGTTCACCCGGCTAAAAAATTCGATTTTGGTGAAAGTCGACTTTCCCCCTGAAAAAATCCAAGATCTGACACTTGGCCCCCAATGAAAAAATTTTTTTTTCAGTTTTCACTTTTTCCACATACTTTTGAGAGTTCTGAATAGCCCGTCGCTTAAATAGTTGGAATCAACGTTCACCCGGCTAAAAAATTCGATTTTGGCGAAAAATCCAAGATCTGACCATTTGACCCTTGGACCGACTTTCCCCCCGGAAAAATCCAAGATCCGACACTTTGGCCTCCGGTGAAAAATTTTTTTTTTCATTTTTCACTTTTTCCACATACTTTTGATAGTTCTGAATAGCCCGTCGCTTAAATAGTTGGAATCAACGTTCACCCGGCTAAAAAAATCGATTTTGGCGAAAAATCCAAGATCTGACCATTTGACCCTTGTGACCCTTGGACCGACTTTCCCCCCCGGAAAAATCCAAGATCCGACACTTTGGCCTCCGGTGAAAAANAACGTTCACCCGGCTAAAAAAATCGATTTTGGCGAAACTCGACTTTCCCCCTAGAAAAACCGAAAATCTGACACTTTGGCCTCCGGTGAAAAAATTTTTTTTTTCATTTTTCACTTTTTCCACATACTTTTGATAGTTCTGAATAG